AAATATAATATAAGTTAATTATTTATCCATTTGATTTCCTCCGAGTGAACGGTATCGCGAACAAATAATAAAGTGATAAATAAAGTATCGTTACATGAGGATCAATTAATTTCAACCTTTATTAAATACTTAATCGAATAGCAACTTTATTTTTACGATTTTATGCTAATTAACTACTTTAGCTAACTATTTTCTTGATTAAGCTTATGACAATTTTAATAAAATTATGCAAGATAATTACTAAGATTTTGAGTCTCCCTTAGTAATCCACCTTTAATGCAAATCAATATCATGATAATGTGATATTCTTGTTGATCAATGTTTCTAAGTTAATTAAAAGTATTTATCAATGTCAATTAAATCTATACTATGATGTGACCTTCCTATAGCGATGTCAATGAGTCGAGTCGACTTGTAAGTTGAAACTCAAGGCTTGGGCTCGGCTCGTGTAAAATGTTTCGAGTTTTTTACGAGCCCAAGTCGAGTCGAGCCGAACTTTTGCTCGACCAACAAATCTAGACCCAGCCTTATCGAGCCGAGTCGGACAGACTCGATTTTTTTTAAAGGATGCTGTCTGGAAAAAGGTAGCACTCGACTGCCTTAAATAAGGTAGCAGCCTGTTGCTACATTTGAACCCTTTTTTTAAACGCTGACTCGTGAGCTCGAGTCAGCGAACCACATTGGTCAATTTGGGCTCAGCTCGGCACCACAAAATGGAGCTTGGCCCGAGCCTCAGTTCGATTTTACTGAGTCTCGAACTAGGTTGACTTGGATTATTTTTCGAGCCAAGCCATAGCAGCCCGAGCCGACAAGCTTCATTGACATCCATACCTTCCTATATTTCTATGAAAGATGCGAAAAGTATGCATTAAAAATGTTAAAACATCTATAGAAATCATGCAAAGCATAACGATATATCTCATCCCCTATCAAATTTTACAATGTTTGTTACAAGTGCGATATATCTCTATCCCCTATATTTTATCCATAAAGTTCAGAAACCATTTCAATTATGGACTAATTAATTGAAAAGCATTATTAAACACAATAACAAGCATCCAAAAAATCACATATATTGAACATGAAACTATTTAAATTACTTTGAAAACTTCATAACAATGGTTCATCTACATCTTAACAATTAAAATTCTAGCCTAACATAACAAAATTACAAGAAATCATATTTAAGTGAAAAGATATAACTCGAATTTTCGATAAATTGAAAAGATGAAAACAAATCTTGAAATATATAATGTATTTAATTGTAACACCCCAAAAATTCTACATGTATTAAATAACAAAATAATCTTGAAAATTATAAGAATTTAATACATATATCACTTTAGTTTTCCAACTTTTCAAAATAATAAAAATATAGCATATAGAACAAGAAATTATATTCTATGAATTTTTTGGGGTTTTACCACTCTAACGACCCAAATTTAATACTTTAAATCGCTACCAAAAGTTTATGTAAAAAAATTTATTCAAATCTTTTATTTATTTCTTTTCTTAGTGACGAAGAATTTTTGCTACAGTAATAATCATATATGCTCGCATTTGGCCCACATTCTTCTTCTCCTTCTTTTTCTCCCTCTTATTTTCAATCACGCAATCTTTCATATAATAATATTACACGCAAATAAAAAACTTTTCATTCTTTTTCAACCACACATTTTTCAAAAAAATACTATTCTAGCCATTAAAATTTGACAAGAATGGAGGCCAAACGGGGGCTATGTTTAGATAGATTTAATAAAAGTCAATCTACAATTTGAACATATAACATAATTCTACACGTATTAAATAACAAATTAGAAATGGTAACGGGCAAACGGCAAAGTCAGTGCAATGAAAATTTATAAAAACTGATTTTGACAAAACTTTCCCATAATTAATATATATAACTCAATTAATTACTTAATTAAGTTAATTTAAGCAACTTCATATATGGGCTTAGATAAATGCTAGAAATGATGCGTATTTCATTTATTAGATAAATAATAAAATATTGAATCTCTTCAATAGTTTCTTGAAAAATTTCCACTTGTGCCTAAACTATGAATATTGTGTTATTGGATGATAATAATTGATGAATATTGGAGTACATATATATAAGAGGTATCTCTAATGTATTCTGTTGTAGGTATTTGTAGGAGTCGAGAATTTGTTTAAAATCACGTCCAAATTGGTTTTCAAAAGAGTTCCAAACGAATAAGAAAATTGCGTTCGAACAAGCATGTTTTTGTCTGTGTATAGTCATTAGTATTTTGATCATGACATTCTCTCCCGATATCCAATTGAAGCAATTCAAAATGAGTTGGAAAGTTAACTCAAAGAATTAAAACTTTTGCTAGAAGTAAAAGTTTTCCAATTCAACTAAAAAATTGGAATATAACTTATGAGATTAGAAATTGATTTGCAATAATATTTGGATCATTTCCATTTTTTTTTTTTACTTCTAATTGCATCCAATTGTCTCCTAACAATTTTCAAAGTATTGTCTTGTGGTATGAGTAAGCTACTTGATATTTGCAATCTGGTCCTCAAAATTTGGACTTCGTCATTTGTCCATTTTAAGCTTCTTTCTTTCAACTCCACTTCCAATCATCGAGTTTTACCTAATAAAAGAAATATACAATAAATTAGATTATAACTTCTTAAAAGAACTATTAAATATCTACATTTTTAGATCCAAATAAGTGTATAAAATATACTTATCAAAACCTCCAAACTTAAACATTTATTTGTCTTCAAATAAAACTAGAATTTAACTTACCAAAATCACAATATACAAAATATTTTGATTAGACAAATTGTCGTTTTGTTTCAAGATTGGAAATATTTTATTAAATATATAAACAGCTTGAAAGTCACGTTACCAAAATCAATATCTACTTTTTAAACTGATGTGACTTTGTGAAGAATTAAGTAAAATATTATAATTTTACGAACTGTTTCAATTTCCAACCCTCGATGGTCAATTTACCCTCATCACTCGTAAGATTCGCACACCACCAAACTTATTATTTTTTACTCTTTTCTTAATGTGTGATTAAAGGCAAAATCTTTATATTAACCTCGCAATCTTTTTAGTTTATATGTATCTTATTAATTGCAAGTTAATATTTGAACAAATAAAGATTCTTCAAATTTTGATTGCTAAACCTCAAAGACTCAATTGGGCTAATCAAAGACCTAATTTTCTCAAATAAGTTTTTTCTTATCTTATGTGCATACTTTTCTCCATTAAACATTTTAAAGTGAGCTTTAAGATCGATAACTCACTAGTCGAATGACTATAGGGTATTAGATTTTTAGATACCCTTTCAGGTTTAATCAATCAAGTTAAAAAGGCTATAAAGAGACATTTCACAATAAGATAGCTCTCTCTCTCTCTCTCTCTTGGCCATAATTAATGCAATGCATCTTATTTACACCCGTTCTAAAAAATCGACCTATAATTTAATACTTTCACTTAATTGTCATCATGTTGGGCTTAGACAATCCACACATGAACTTATACACATGGAATTCACATTCATATTCATATCTCTCTACAACAGGAAAATCACCTCCAAACTATTTTAAATTTGGGCAAATGATGTATAATATAATAATTTTTGGGTTTATCATCTAAGTTATACTCTTTCAACCTATCAAGCATATGAATCAACTTATTACTTTGTAAAGCTAAATTTAATTCATCTGCACAAATTGTATCAAGTTTTACATGGATAAGAATCAGTTATTTCTTGATGAAACTCCACTTGCACCTCTCTTCTTTGTTGAACCCTTCCAAGTTCCCTTATGAATGTTGCCTCATTTAATGATAATAATTGATGAATATGAGAGTACAAAATGTATATGAAAGGTGTCTCTAATGTATTCTACTGTTAGGTACTTATAGGAGTCAAAGATTGGTTAAAAATCACGTCTAAATTAATTTTCAAAAGAGATCCAATCGAATAAGGAAAGCTACATTCACATGCACATGATTTTTTGTTTCTATACTGTCGTCAGTATTTTGATCATAACTTTCTCTCCCGACATCCAATTGAAAGTGCGTTGAAAAACTAATTTAACGGACTACAATTTTTTTAGAAATAGATTTTTTTATTTTCAATTCGAACGTTTACTATAAGAAAAATGGGTCTAAATATTTGGCTAAATATCTGGATATAATTTGTGTGAATTGGAAATTAATTTGTGATAATATTTTAACCATATTTCATTCCTTTTTGACTTTTAATTGCATCAAATTTTCTTCTAGCAATTTTCAAATTATCGTCTTGTGGACCGAATCAACTATTGAATATTTACAAGTTGGTCCTCAAACTTTGGACTTTGCTATTTCTCGATTCTTTCTTTCAATTCCGCTTTCAAAAATTGAATTTTACCTAATAAACAAAACATACAATAAATTAGGCTATAATTGCTCAAAAGAGCTATTAACTGTCTATAGTACTTCAAGGTCCAAAAAATTATAATAAATAAACTTATCAATTTTCATCAATATAAAATAAGAATTAGTATCAATAAATAAATATTGAAGTTAAATGTCACAAATATTTCTGATCACATTGTCTGATATATTTTAAATTTCAATTGCCAATAATGTGAAATTGAGCCTTGAAATATATCATGCCATGTGCTGTGAAAATATAACATCGGTCAACCCATGATGATCTGTTTTTTCGAATTATTAATTTCTTATAGAAGCACATGATTACAAAGTTTGTCGAACATTAAGGCTTTTTTCTTTTGTTAAAGCCAAAATAATAATAATAATAATAATAATAATAATAATAATAATAATAATAATAATAATAATAATAATAATAATAAAAATCTAAACTATAGAGCAAATTAACCGAGATAATTCATTTGACTATATATTTTAAGTGAATATATTATTTGAATTAAAAAAATATATAGCAAATAGCATATAGCAGTAGACATGTGTTACTGGCAATTAATTCTCCGTAATTTGTCCTAAATTATGCAAAATATGCTAAGACTCCAACAAAAGGTGCGCTGTTGGCAGTTGCAGCCTCAGCCTGCTGAAAATTTTCCCTCGAGTCTGTATATTCATCATTTTGACCTGGTCCTCCAACTATTGCACCATCAATAACATTAGGGTTTGGTGCATTTCTATGAAACCAAGCTGTGAACCCTCCTTGACAAGTTACCGGGGTAGGATTTTGGTTGATCGACACAATTGATGCTCCTCGATGGTGAACCTGTTGTGGATACTTTTCTCCAAACCCGACCATGTAACTTATTTGGTGAGGGTTTACCCCGAGTATGTAATTAACCTGATCAAAGAAAACCAATCAAGGAATTGTCAATTAAAAACCAACTTAGAGATGTTCATTGCGTCAAGAAAGACATAAATCAGTAGATATTTGTCAAAATCAAATGCTAAAACCTCGGAAATATAAGTGATTAATCTCCCAATAAGCCTAAGATCTTTGAGACTTCAATATTTTTTGATATTTAATAACGAGAGCTCTTTAGACGATTTAAATGTTAAATATAAGTGGCCTCATTTGAGTCATCGAGGGTCGCTGCCAATCTACTAACAAAAAATTTGAATGTCTAGGGCTTCAATGGGTTCCGTAAGAGTGTGTTGAAAATGAAATTAAATAATCTGCATGTTTCATCATCTATTGGCTTAATGTATGAGCTTAAGCTTGAGATCAAGTGAATCAATACTAACCAATAAAGCATTATTGGATTATAGCAAGGACAAGTATTGTATATTGGAAGAATTTTGTGAATAGTGACGCCAAAATAAGTATAATGATGGTATGTAAATCCGTGCCGAAAATTGGACAGAGTAACGACAAAGAAAATACAAACAAGAAGAAGAAGAAAGTAGGGACAAAGCCGAGGCAAGAGTTTGACTCTTTGTCCTTAAGTCGAATTTGCCCCGCAACGGTGCCTACGGATTTCGGCAATCGACTCTCAAGATACAACGGCTATACTTGTGTTTGTAGCACTCCAAAACACAAGTACAACGAACCAAATTTAGGCTTATGTACTCCAAGGATGAAATGAAGGAAAATCAAAATAAATGAAATGATTTTGATTTTGAATAGAAGAGAAGATGAGAGATGTTTTTGCATATCAAATTGTGAGGAATAGGACACCCAAATGGTCCTATTTATAGACCATGAAAGGGTGTGGACGAAATGGTTGAGGCCAAACCATGCACCCTTTCCAAACAATGCACCTTTATGAAAAGGTGTCTATTTACTCAAAAAATCGGAATTGAATTTGACGTGTGATCGCGTGGTTTACCAACCATGCGGTCGCACGGTCAAATATTTTGACCTGATTTTCGTCATTTTTCGTAATTTCTCATTCATCCGATATTGGTTTTCGAAATGCCAAATATACTCTTCAATACATGCAGAGAAATCAAAATTCTCTTTCGGGGGCATTGCCCCCGAGCCCCCACGGGGGGCGCTGGCCCCTCGACCCTCGCGACCTGACAGGGCAGGTCGATCCCCGTTTGTGCTTCCCAAAGCGGCGAAGTGGCAAACAATTTTGCCTAAACGGATTGAGTCGAGCTTTTGAGTATTTGGCCGAAGTCGATACGAAGTCACTTTAATCGATTTTCAATTCTCGATTTATTTAACCAATATCCAACATTGTATAATTTGAGATGCATTGTGAAATCATCTTTTACATCGTAGGATATAATATGTTGGGTGCATATTTACAGCATAGTAGTGGAATTTACTAGATAATACTCGGAAAAATAAGATACCTGTGATCGGACTACATGTATCAGATATTCCGGTGGGATCTTTCCAGCAGGGCACTGGAGGGTATTCTTTGTGGCAGTAAGGACATGGGAATAAGTAGTCATTATAAATGATGCACTTGTGACATACTGAAGATTATTCCAATCTTGCCACCAAAGAAGCCCATTATTAGTAGTTTTCACATTGTTACTGCCTTTCTGAAGGCAATTGCAGATAAATTGCTCGAGATAGTTTTTGTATTGTCCCAAATTTCCATTTCCCGGATATTTTCCCTCAAGAATGCCCTGAAAAATTGCAGAAAACACAGAATTCGTTCAATAAAATTGAATATAAACTACAGCTTCTTCTTTGATAAGTTGAATTGACAAAATAATCGACATATGCTTTTCTTTCTAAATCATGTCAACTTATCAAATATATACTTAACGAGGGATTACCTATTTCCCTGTAACCTTGATGATTGAAAGGTACAGAATCATAAGTATAGTTTAGACTTTTATACCTTTGCAACGAGGAGTTGAGCTCCGACATATTTGTCGTCCCATGAAAACATTTGTCTGGTGCCTCCTATATTCGTGGAATTAGTGATGAAATCTAGGTATTGTTTTTCTCCAGTGGCACGCTCTAACCATACAGCAGCCCACAATAATTCATCCTGTGTATTTCACAAAATGAATTTCAAATTTGTGCAGTCAATGAGTTAGAATAATATACTAAAATGGAATTAAATTTAATTACCTCATATCCACTGCTAGAATAGAAATTTGCGGCCGAGGAAATGCTGTTTTGGTACTGGCCAGGATATTTTACAGCAAAATCAAATAACTGTCACAATAATCAAATGCATTAGTATTAATCATTAACAACTTTATTAACAAAAAGCCATTGGAGGTCTAGCCTTGACCCCTACGAGCTTTTGGAAAAAGATTTTCAAATTTAGACATCTCAATCTGTGCAAATTTATTTCTATTCAAAGTTCATATGGTGCATATTTTTCATCAGATTTGATCTTCTACACAGTATAAAAACTTAACACTGCTAATATGATAAGAGAAACATTACTTATGGTTCTCAGCAACAGTTGTACCTTTCGAGAGCCATATTTACGATTCTCTATGTCACGTTAGTTATGGGATGTTTTTATCCTGCCCCACTGTGTGCAGAAGATCAATTCTATATTTTTCATATATATATATCAAGATGATGGGGCACAATTTTCATAAAATCTAGATAGGTAACAGAAATAAGACTTTTAACTCAAGATATTCTTTTAACTTAACCTGTTTGGCATGGAGAATAAGTTGGAATGAATATCTTGTTCCCCTAAACGCCAATGCAGCAGCTGCAAATGCAGCTGCAGTTTCCCCTGCAAGATCTGCTCCAGGATGTTGCTCATCAATCCAATAAACAGTCCTCGGTGTTGTCATATCCTCGGGCCTCATCCAACACGCATGATCTGAGAAACCATCTCCCACTTGACCATAAAGAAAATTAGGGTGTGGGTGTGCTTTGATGAAATAATCAGTTCCCCATTTGATGGCAGCCAAAGCATTAGATAACTCGTTTTTTGCCAGAAGTTGTGGCCCAAATTCCACTACACTCCATGCAAGCATTGTCACAGTAAAAGCCATTGGAAAACCAAATTTAACGTTGTCTCCGGCATCATAGTATCCTCCCACAAGATCCTCCTGTGAAAATATAATAGACATGCATGAACGATTAATCAACCATTAAACGTGTACTTAAAATCCATAAAAGGAGTTACTTTAGGAAGTGAATCCTTAGATACTCTAATAAATCTCTCTCATGCAGGTATCCTAAGATGAGCTCAACGAGAATAGAAATCTCGTGTGGAACAGAAGGGTAAAAGCTCGTTTGATTCTGAAGAAGAAGAAGGAGGAGGAGGAAGAGGAGAAGAAGAAGAAGAAGAATCTATGTTTAAAGTGAAATTTATTGTATTATAATTTATTTGAATAAGAGTTAAATTGCTTATTTATTAAAATAAAATGATCAATTAAAAAAGATATATGTACCCCGGCAGCTTTGCCATCGTTAACAGCTGAATTGCCTCGCCAATTCACACGTTGGCTAGGGGGTAACGCTCCCGATCTTTGTGCTTCGTAGTACAACAAAGATTTGGTTAGGGCAGCTCCATAGTTCACTTTGTCAGCGTTAGAGTTGACAAAAGCAAGAATGCAACAAGCAAAGGCTAAGAGAGATAAAGAAGGCATAATTGCAGTTAATTTGAAATGGATATGAAAGAGCCTTACTAAAATGGCCTAATTTATATAAAAAAATAAAGTCAAATAATTTAATAACTAATTATTTTTCCTTTAATGAAATAGAGATTTCATTCGTAATATAACTTAAGGTTTCAACCTTTGTTATATCTTGTCACTCTGCAGAGAACATTAATGGTTTTTAATTCAGACTTTAATAATTTACCACATGATTCATTATAAATATAATCTATATTATATATTTGTAAGGAATCTCATGGATTTGAAATATTAAAACCAACTTTTTATTTGTATAATTTTAACCGGAGGTTTTGCCAATTCAGATTTTAATGAGTTTATTAAGATTTATGGATTGCGATGGATTTCATGGATTTGAATAGAATTTCACTCAACGTATAAGATTTATCATAATGTTATGTTTAAATTTTTTATGAATTTCATGGATTTAAAACTAACTTTGTACATGCCAAAAACATTTTGTTTTAGTTTTTCAAAATCCATGAGAATCTATAAAAGTCTATAGTATAGCATTTTCTTAAAATCTTATTAATCATGTAAATTCTATTTTAATTTATGATATTTGTGAGAATTAATCATTAAAATCTGAGTTGATAACAACCCCTAAGTTAAGATTGCCCAAAAGTTTGTTTAATATTTCTAATTCATGAAATCTATTAGAATTCACGGATGTCTATAGTACATTATTTTGATACCATCTTTTGAATTTTGTGGAATTCTATTCAAATATATAAAATTCATTAGAATTCATAAATATTAAATTATTAAAATCTTGTTGTTCTGTTCTGTACTCAAATTTTAATGAATTTCTTAAGATCTATGAATTCTCATGGATTTCATAGGTTAGAATAAAACTCCACCTACTTATCAAGATTTTAAAAATGATATGTTATAGATTTTATGGAATATTTCTTATGGATTTGAAATATTTAAACCAACTTTTTTGGGTATATCTTAACTTATAACATTTATAAGAAATTAACATTTATTTATTTGAAATGAAACACGTTACAACATGCATCTGTCCCCAATGTTAGGGATTTTTTTAATTTTATTTATTTATTTATTTACTATTATTATTATTATTATTATTATTATTATTATTGAAATTTGGTGTCAAGGTACAATTTTTGGTGGATTTGTGTAACTGAGATTATTTGAGTGCGTACTTAAGGTGGATAAGAAGAGAATTTTTGCATGAATTAAATAAGGAGAGCTGTTATCTTGAAATGCTCCACGTAATAAATTTTGTTTTAGAAAATATTGCTATATTATAATGAATAATGTTATGTAACTTCATTGGAATTGCAATTTCAATTTATGTGACAATAGATGATTGATTAAATAAAAAGTGAAATTGAATGAGTCATTTAATTTTACCTATCAATTAATATCACATTAACATTACCTAAATTGGGGTTGCATTCCCAATGGAGCTAAATAACATTTATGTCTACTTATTTCATGGAAAAAGTTGAGGCAAATAACTTCTCTCGATGGCATATAAAAAATATTAATTATTTATAATTTGAAGAAAAATATCAAGAATAATATGTGAAAAGTCTAAGTTGTCCCTTTGCAGAAATGTCTACATTATAATGTGCAATCAAGATGTCATCCACCATAGCATAGAGGTTTGGACACTATCGTGCAACCAAGATTTCATGTACTATGATATCAGTTACACGTAGTTCAAAACTCATACATAGCTTACCTGAGAAACCATCTTATTTGATACACATCTGAAATTTCGATCTGTAAATTATACCTACTTTCTTCGTGCCACAAACACACCTTCCGCCAACATGCAATTTCCTTGCCCTTGCATTCTGCATATCAAGACATATTTGTCAAGCTTAGTAGTTTATAAGGTAACAAAATATATTGTACCTGCACCTCCAATATATGTATGTGCGAGTTTCGCATCGAATAACATAAATTTCATTGGGCATTTTCATGGAATTTAACGAGCTATTATTAGAAATCGTGGGATATTTTAAAATTTGCCAATCTAATCAATAATCTCGTTTTATTGTTAAAGGTTATAATTCAATCTTTATCTTTATATCTTTAGCAAACAATTTTTTTAGATAAAGTATAGACTTGTTACTTAAAGAATCGGCCTTCCTCTCTTTTGGAGGAAATTCACTAATGGAACATCGTAGATCACTAGCTTCGACATTTCACAACTGGTTAATCCCATTTTAAAAGTAAAAAAATAAAAATAAAAAATGAAATGATTGACAATCAAAACTTTCTTAGGATGGAATTAGCTATCGAATTAAAATAAAAATTTAGTACACCCTTAGTAGTTGTGTGTTTGAAAATGTAGAATTGAAATTCTAGAATTTATGAAATAGGGTCATAGGTTTCTAGTGGTAATGCTAGGGAATAAAATTCACTTTGAAATTTAAAAATAATGAGACCTTTATTGTACCGCTTGGAAAGTTCTATTGACCATAATAATTCACAACACACTTGAAGTTCCTATCCAAATTGTACAGCAGCAGTACAATATTTTCAAGGTTGAATATCATTTTCAGCACCTTAACCTTTTAATTTTCAAAAGTAGTACCAAACCCTTAAACTTCGTTAAAATCTAAAAAAAAAAAATTCTACAATATTAGACACCAATAAAAGTGCTCCATATAATATAATTGTGATTCTAAGTACTATGGTACATAACTCGCAATAGTGAACCATCTTTGATCGAAATCACATCATTTCGGGTTTCAATCTCTTTAAAAACAATACTCAGTATGAAGAACTTTAGACATCTCAGAATTATTGAATGCAAATTATTTAAAATAACGAAACAATGAGTTTCAAAACATTGTGAACTAGCCTTGTCTGTATTCTGATTCCCAGAATTCGTAGGGACAGCCAAAAGGATGTTTTATAGCTATCCCAAGCCGAGCGCATTGGTCGAATTTTGCAAAGGTTCAACATGAATAATTCAAAAACAGCTAGCATGCAATTTGTTGACCTCAAAAAGTGCGCCAACAGATGCCGGTCCCACCCGCGCTTGCGTGGTCGAATGTCCAACACGTTAAGACACGTGGATGGTCTAAAACGAGCGGTTCAAAGGGGTGTGGGAGTAGCCCAACGACGCGGAACGGTGACGTTCGGAATCCGGCGGGTTGTTCGTAATCCGATTGTACAATAATTACCAACCGGTGCTCGTAAATGTATATGTAAAAGCGTATAAACTCGATTTGTGTATTGCAAGTGAATGAGAGAGAGTTGAGTAAATGTAGTCTTTAGTATTGATTCTTACATTAGCCTTTTGATATTACACAAGGGAAGTATTTATAGTAGTACTTATGAAAAGGGAGCCCTTGGATGAAGTGGCACGTGGCCTCATCTCTTTAGTTCAAACATCTTTTCCTAGATATGGGGCTTGACTTGCTAGCTTGCGGCGTATTTATTGCTTGTGCAGGGCCTTCATGCTAGTGACAAGACTTGACCTTTATGCTTATGACAAACGTTCCATCAATCATTCGAATAAGATCTGTGCAGGCGATCTCTTGGGAGAAGTGACCATGGAGGATGTTTCCTTGTGGTTCAGAGGCTCACGCATCAGCTTCGGGGCTTCGGCCATTTGTCATGATACTTCCACTTGAGGGCCTCAGCTGCTCTCAACAGGTTCCAGCAGCCTGGCTTCGGTTCGTAGGCCTCGATCAATGGGCCTCGGCAGATGGATTTCGGCTCGAAGCAGTTCGGATGTAGCCCACCTCGGTAGGAATGCCACGTGGATCGCCATGAGTGGGCTATTGTCCCAGGTAGGTTGGCCAGGTGTGACAACACGCAACAATAGTCTCACAAGTTCAAGTATATTCATTTATGTAATGCGTGGACTTTAATGGAGTAAAAATTGAAAGAATTTTTGAACCCCAAATAATAGTCCCCGAAGTCCAAGTATAGATATTTATATTATGGTTGGGGTTTGAGAAGTGTCGCTGTGGGTGAACGATGAAGTAGGCGAGGTGTTTGAACTCTGAAGATGAGTCGAGGTGGTTGAGTAGCCGAACCTGCGAGGCTTTGATGCTGAATGGTGAAGAGGAAGCCGAGGTGGTTGAGAAACCGAACCCGCGAGGCTTGATTGCTGAATGGCGAAGAGGAAGCCGAGGTGGTTGAGGAACCGAACCTGCGAGGCTTGGTTGCTGAATGGCGAAGAGAGAAGCCGAGGTGGTTGAGTAGCCGAACCTGCGAGGCTTGCCGAGGTCCAATGGTAATGATTGTGCGTTGGCTACTGTGCCAATGATTTGATGTTTTGTGCTTGTTTTCGAGGAAAAGTGGCTAAACCGTTACGACTTCCAAGGTGTTGTTGCTGTCGAATTAAAAATGCAATTATGAGGACAGTTGGCGCTTCTAGAAGTAGACGCATTGGAGAGGTGCGTGGGAGGCACGCATAAATCTGAAGCGTAGGATTTAAAAACCGTTTGAATTCAACGCCTCGGATTGGATCTGAAATGGAGGGCTCGGATTGACTGAGATTCGATCTGACGACTGGGGTTTGTCTTGGACCTTTATAAAAGGCGAGAAAATCCCAATTTTCAGGATTTTTGAACACTTTGCACTCTGAAACTCTCTCAAATCTCCAAATTTTCTGGTGTCGAGGTTGACTGTGATATTAAATTCCGGCCAGTCTCCGTTTGTGTCGAATTCCCCTAGGTATTGTTTGCACAAAAACCCTTGTTACTGTCTTTTTACTGAGAAAATGGAGTCCACTTCGGGTAGAGAGCTTGTTACAGTGGCGTCTTTAGACTATGGGATCGGTCATGGGGGGATGTCCGAGATGGATAGGTATGCCATGGCCGAGGAGCCTGTAGATTATACCCAGGAGTGGGGGGCTTCTAGAGTGCCCTCGAATATGACGGGGAAGAGGTTGGGGGAACTTAGGGAGAGGTACAGTGTACCCCACTACATAGAAATGTTAGTCCCCGAGGCGAATGAGCGGGCTTGCTATCCGA